GCTGCTCATTGACAGACTCCTTACAATGAGAATTCAGAACAAGAAAGCAGCAAGCTGGGACATTTTTTTAAAAAATGGATTACAAAAGCCCAAACTTGGCACTTCTGCACCAATGATACTCTCACTTGTGTAGCCTCAGAATACTGGCATTAGATCTGGGTTTTGAACGGTAAAGCAAATTCAGGAAAGGGAAGCAGTGAAAGGGTGAGTCAGGGAGCAGGAAGTACAGTGAGTATGCAGGTCAGGGAGGATACAGTTTGGAGGGTTGCTTGACTTATGGGGAAAAGATGTTATGGGGTGGGGGGGAAGGTCGAAGATGAGTAGAGACTGAAAGTCAAAGCACGGCGCAGTATGGTCGGAGTAAGTCATCTCAAGTTGAAGGGTTATGGATGGGGGAAAATTGGTGATAGGTGGATGGTACAAGGTCACAAAACAGGTTTGGCTTTGGTGGGGGGGCAGCGGTGTGTTGGTAAGTAAGCTGTCTCAAGTCAAAGGACTGCAGGCTAAGTAGCGGGTGGATGAAGTAAACAGCCTGAAGTCAGAGGGTTGGTAACGGTGATGGGTGGATGGTGAGGAGGCACAAGTCAATGGGATCAAAGCATGCAGGAGAATGGAGGTCACAAGACAAAGGGTTAATGAGGAAGGGTGGAGGAAGAGGCTGTAAGTCAGAGGGTCAGGGAAAGGAAGAATCTGCAGTCACTTGGAGGGTCAGGATGCAAGCAGTTCAGGAAGCAGAATTGGGAGGTACTTCAAACAGAGAGTGGAAATTTATTAATAATATTTACAGTTCTCTGTTACTGCTATAGGTCAGAATGAAACATGAGAGCAAATTAAATTTGGTGTCAATGGCAGGGAAATTGCTGTGCATAAATAGGTGTGATTTGATTCATGGAAAATTCAGTAACCAAAAACAAACTTTATTTCCTCCTTTCAACATTCCTCTTCTCCTGTTTTTCCTTGTCCTTTTTAAATGCACTGACTCCACCAAAATATGGTTCCAGAATGGGGAAGACAAACAGAAATTTCTTGCAAGAATAAATACTTTAAAACTACAGGCTGAACAAATAACTTGCTGCAAACATTCTGAATATAGATATATTCTGAATATATACTGGTCACATCCCATACCTAAATTCTTTGTCATTGATTATATAAATTAAGGTGAAGTATCCACAGGTGGCAAACTCCCCAGATATCACTTTGCCCAATAAAAGGTGATGCTTTAAGGTTCTTGTACAGTTGCATTGTCCTTACTCTGGCACAGAAGGTCCAACTTCAAATCTGGAGGTATGTCATCAATGTCCAAGTAAGTCAATTAAAAAGTTAAAAATAATGTAAAGAGACATTTTAAGGATCGTGTGGTGCAGTGGTACAGTCTCTATTGTGGGTCAGAAGGTCTAGTTTAAATTCCCATCTCAGGATGTGATGGCCATGGAGGTGTATCATAACACGTCCAAACAGGATGATTAAATAGACACTTACTGACACTAATGATGGATTGTAGAGTCAACAGCAGTTGGTAATGATTCCTTTTGTGAATAAGTCTAAAACTGAGCAAAGATGGACTTCTGGTGCCCTTCATCAACTGACTGCAGAAACATGAAAACTTTACTGATGTTGTAAGATACCTTCAGGTAGATGACTGCATTCGTGCCCAGTCCTTCCATAGAGTACAACTTGAGGTCCCCTTGAAAATAACGAGCATATAGGCGGGAGATTGGCAAGCCATATCCGAATCCAGCCTGCAGCCAGAAATTAAAAAAGCAACTTTACAGAATAGCTGCACTATAACAGTGTCAAACTTAGATTAGACAAAGATTACATACCTGGGCAAAATAAGAGAAAATAATCCGAGAAAATGATGTAAGAATGAGCTACATGAAAATGTTTTTAAGATAAGTTTTAAAAATATCTTCACTTATTACAAGACTGGCTCTAAAGTACAATCTATACTTCAATATGACTATGCATAAAATAACCAAGAGATAAACTGTTTCTGAATGTTTAAACCTCTGGACAAAATCTTACAATTTTATTTATCAACAAATTAGTTTATTGCTGGCAACCAGCTAGATTAACAATTTTCCTGGATATGGAGAATAATTGAACAAGCCTGTAATGATAAATGATTTTGAAGAAAATGGCATGCCAAGATCAGCTTGAAAATTGTGGGAATCTGCAGCATGGAAACAAGCAACCGGGCAGCGGCTCAAATATTCTGATGGCCAGAGAGTCATTGAAGCAGCGCAGAGTGGAATAGCAAGTCAGAACCACACAGAATTCCCAACACAGCAGACTCCGTGGGAATTGCCTGGAAAATTGAAACATCTGAGAGACAATTCCTCTGCATCTGGAAAACCCTGAAAAAGGCTAAAATCAGGAACTTGGGGGATTCTGACTCACTTAAGCTTGCCCAAGGAAGGTTGGAGGATTAAATACCTATTGCAAGTCCTGGGTATCTATTAAACCAATCCCCCAATTCCAGCTTCTCTGACCACTTACATCTGCTATGTCTGCCACCCGACGCTGCCAGACCCCAACACTTACCCTTGATGCCCATACCACTGTGCCGCCTGATCTCCCCAGACCCAAGAACCCCCTTCCTTGCCTGATCCCCCACGGAGCATCGCCCCCAACTCTCTGACTATCCATTCAACATCCCCTTTGCACCTGTTGGACTTGACACAGTTTATCCTGATCGGAGACCCAGTCCCAGAACCGCCAACCAACTTGACAGTAAAATGGTACACATGCTCAAGTTTTAAAATGATAGAAATGGCTAGAAATTCTCAGCAGCATCTATTGGCAGAGAAATAGAGGTAAGGTTTCAGGCAGATGTTCAATCAGCAGACCAGGAAAAAGTCTGTCATTTGGAGATGTAATCAGTTTAACTGAGTGAAAAGTCAGAAAAAAGTCGTGGCATGGGGTGACAAAGAAAAGAAACAGAGGGTAAGGTGTGTTGCGAGGAGAGGCTGAGTTTGGACCAGAAATGAGGAAAGATTAATTATTAAAAGGAATGAGATGCATGTTAATGTTGCCATTGTGGGTCAAACTTCAGCAGGTGGACTGCAACAGTTCAACAAGGCAGCTCACCACCATCTTATTAAGGACAACTAGGGATGGGCAAAAAAAATGCTGGCCAGCCAGCAATGCCCAAATCCCACAAATGAATAGAAAAAAAGGGGAATGTAATTAGATCAGGAAGGAAACAAAACAATGAGGCAAAAGAAAGTGTAAATGACTCTGTTGCTCTTGTTTACTTTGCCTCTACACCCATCTTTTGTTTAACCCATTAGCAACTCTTTTTGCCTCAGGAACGTAGGAGAAGTAGTCTTCCAGCGCTAGGCACCCGGGTTCAATTCTACCGTCAGGTGACGGTCTGTGTGGAGTTTGCATATTCTCCGTATCTGCGCAGTTTCCTCCCGCAGTCAAAAGATGTTCAAGTTAGGTGGGTTGGCCATGCTAAATTCCCCGTAGTGTCCATGGATGTGCAGGCTAGGTGGATTAGCCATGGGAAATGCAGGATTACAGAGATAGGGTAGGGAGGTGGGTCTGGGTGGGATGCTCTTTGGAGCGTCGGTGTGGACTTGATGGGCCAAATGGCCTGCTTCCGTACTGTAGGGATTGTGTGGTTCTATGATTCAAGCTTGTTCCACCATTCTAGATCATACCTGATCAATTGCCTCAGTGCCATTTTCCCAAGTTACTCCTGTATCTCAATGTAGTATGTATAATCTATTTAATCGCTATGTGGAATATACTCAATGACCGAACTTCCACATTTAATAAATAAAAGAAAATAAGAGGAGGGAGTACTGAGACAGAGAGATCTACAACCAGGGGTTTTGTTATGAAACCGATGGAAAGCTGAAAATATTGATGTGTTTGCAGTCAGCTATGATAGTTTTAAATTTAAACACATGAATGGATGGAGCACCACACTGACTAACACCGCTGCCTCACAGTGCTATGTACCTGTGTTCGATTCCACCCTTGGGCGACTGTGTGGAGTTTGCACATTTTCCCAGTGTCTGCACAGGTTTCCTCCCACAGTCCAAAGATGTGCAGGCGAGGTGGATTGGCCATGCTAAATTGTCCATAGTATCTAGGGATGTGCAGGCTAGGTGGGTTAGCCACAGGAAATACAGGGTGACAGGGATAATGTAGGTCTGGGTGGGTTGCTCTTCAGAGGGGTGGTGTGGACTCGATGTGCCGACTGGCCTACTTCCATACTGTAGGGACTTTATAGATAACTAACGTTTAAGAAAATGCTTCACAAACTTTTTTCCCACATGACCCCATTTAGACATCAAATTTGCATTCATCCAGATGATATGGGTAGGGAAGGTTTGCAGGACTTCTGGAATATAAATTCTACCTGTACTTTCTGTACATGAAATTGTACCAGGGAAGCCAGAATTCTCTGTGAAACACAACATTCAGAGCACACTCAGTTCAAGAGTTGCTAAGTGGATGGAAACATTCAATTCTCAGCAATCGGGGAAGGATTTTTTGAAGATTTTCAATTGGTCACTCAAGACACTTCTGGGGTCACTGAAGAGCTGATTGAAAAGTTTACTGAAAGGCAGCAATATATGAATGAGGAGAGAAGGTAAACTCCATGCTAAGAATGCTTGTTGGCTGTATTGGAGGGAAGGCAACAACTTCATAGATTCTCTTTAGAGAATTGAAAGTGAAAATGAGAATTAGTGAGAAGTCAACTTAGTGACAGGTCAAGCGCAGACAATGTTTCTATATTAAATAAAAACCGAAAGAACTGCAGATTCTGTAAATCAGGAACAAAAGCAGAACTTGCGGGAAAAGCTCAGTTGGTCTGGCAACATCTGTGAAGAAATAATCAGAGTTAATGTTTCGGGTCCAGTGACCCTTCCTCAGAAGGGTTGTTGCTGTTGTTGTTGTTGTCAATGTGTCTATACTGTTAGTACTCAAGGCAAGTTTAGGAGGAGTTCATTGGCAGCTCAGTGTTGCATTCAGGGCTTAAGAAAAGTCGTGGATGTTGGGGTGGCTTTTAAGGGAGATTTACAGAGAAATCCACAAGGTCTGTCTTGATCACATTTGCTATTTGACGTATACTTTGGGGTATTTGAACATCGTATCTTACCAACGTTTACAACACTTTAATGCTGATTGTTAGAAATAGCTGCACATGCATTGTAGACTGCATTATTTCTAACTTGCATTATAATACAGGAATGTTGTTTCTTCCAAATCATGGAATCCTGTCATAATATTTTCTATTACTAACAAATTTCTCCTTCTAACTTCTGTACTTAAAACAACAATGTTGAAGGTTGCAATTAAAATCACAACTTGAAATTTTTCAGGTAATTCATTTAATTCAGCATTCATTTTTCTTAAGGAAGTCATTCAGAATAGCACCAATGACCACTTCAAACATCAATTTCCAATTCATCCAGAAAAACCACTGACAACAGTTCTAGAATTTCCAATGGCCAGATAGTTGTTACGCCAGCACAGACTGGAGTTGCATCTACAGGCTATTAGGGACTCAGTTGTGCACTTTGAAGGAATTGCCAGCAAGTGAATTTTCCACCGAGCAACTCCTCCACACCTGGAACCCTTACAGAGTCTCAATTTATACCAGAGACGTCAGAAAGTTCCAAAGGAGGAAAACAATTACTCGGGAAAAGTTAGACTAACTGATGGAAAGCTGAAAATATTGATGTCTTCGCAGTCATCTATGATGGTTATAATTTAAACACCTGAATGGATAACTAATGTTTAAGAAAATGCTTTTTTTTCCCCATGGTGACAAAATTTAGACAAAAAAAATGCATTCATCCAGAGGAGATGTGTAGGGAGGGTTTGCAGGACTTTTAAAACAAAAACAATTCTACCCACATTTTCTGTATATCAAATTGTACCAGAGAAGCCAGAACACAACATTCAGAGCACACTCAGATAAAGAGTTGCTAGGTGGAAACATTCAATTCTCAGCAATAAGGGGAAGGGCTTTTTGCAAGATTTCCATTAGGTTACCCAGGACAGTTCTGAGGTCACTGAAGAGCTGATTGAAAGCTTACTGAAAGGCAGCAAGTACATACCCCCACCAATGCACTCCACCACAGTACAGCCAACCTACCCTGAGCAGGACCTGACCTGACCTGACCTGCACACCCACTGAACTGAACATCACCACCACCCTCAACAGACCCCAATCTTTGCCCAGGCCTGCTTCCCACCACCAGACTCAACAAGTGAGACTACCAGTTCTTTAAAATCTAGCCTAAAACATCACTGGAGTGATTTAGCAGAATAATTTAGAGGGTGCAACATCTACCTATAAAACTTATCACTTGCATGGAAGAAGGTCTTGGTTGAGGAGCATATAGATGGGTTTAGTGTTTTATATTACAAAGATATCAATACCCCTGTACTTGTTTTTCCATTAAATATCTTCTTTTCTGCATTAGGGATATTGATATTTTGTTATATGAAAGACAAGTGTGCAAGGAAATAACAGGCCAACCATTGTTCTGTCAGCTCCATGACAGATGATATTTCAAATAATTTTAAATAAGATATTAACATTCTAGCATTTTCTTCTACTAATCAGCTATAATTTAGCAGATATACAAAAAGTACTATTACTGATTTGCTGCCTTGGTCCTATTTCCAAAATAATTGCAAAAAAACTTTGGGATACATAGAAAAGACAGTCAAGAAAAAGAATGCTAATCTCTAATTTTGTGCTGTTTATAATCTTAAGAATAAATGTTTTTGCAGGATGGGTTTTATTTTTACAGCTCTTTGTAGCCAGTGGATAACACAATATGCGCTTACCAAAGGAGCAGCCTGTGATGGGTGTAAGCTGGGACTGGGTGCAGTTGAATACATGTAATTAAACAGACGGTCGATCTTCCGCAGAGGAACACCACCTCCTTTATCAGATATCTACACAAGTTACAAGACAAATGATTAAAGGGAAAGCTAAAACAAAACAGCTACCTTCCCCAAAGGATTCTATGCATGAAATGTTGGATGGAGAAAAACTGACCATTTCTTGTATATAATCTAACATTATTATTCAATTGAATTTCCAACAATGAAAAAGTTAAGAATATTTTTTCTAGCAGAAAATCATCTTTTCATGAGGATTTAAATGTACATCCAAGAAAATTTCACAAAACTCTATAACCTCAAGGCAAAAGCAAAATACTACAGATACTCGAAAACGTGAGACAAGAAAAGAAAAATGCTGGAAAGTCTCAACAGGCGAGTCAGCATCTGTACAGCAAGAAAAGAATTAACATTACAGATCAAGATTCCAGTATGAAGGGAATTAAACTGATGAAGATGCATCAATGATTAGTCTCAGAAGATGTACCAAGTGTTAATAACAAAATGCAGTTACTGAGCAAACTGAATGTTTACAATTCACCAGTTTATTATAGCTCCATCTACTACTCTTTGAACTAGTAAACCATCTGAAAAGCAAATTTTATTCACAAACAGGACTGAAAAATTTACACTCAAAGGCAGAGCCACAATTAGATATACTGGCCACAGGAATTAATGGGTCAAATTGGCAGGCAGTAACTAGTGGTGTGCCACAGGGATTGGTGCTGGGACCTCAGATATTCACAACGTATACAAATAATTTGAATGAGAGAACAAAATGCAACATTTGAAAGTTTGCAGTTGATACCAAGTTGGGTGAGAGAGTGAACTGTGACGAGGATGCAGAGATCCTTAGCAGGTTATGGGGAGAAAGCAGGATTAAGCAATTGAGTTGGATGATCAGACACAATCGTGGTGAACGGCGGAGCAGGCTTGAAGGGCCAAATGACCTCCTCCTGCTCCTATCTTCTATGTTTCTAGGTTAGCAGTGCAGAATTAAGTAGAATTGTTTCACCCTTTTTCCATTCTCTCTAGTCTATCATATTTCATTGTACAAGAATAAAAAATAAACTACAAAAAGGAAAATGCATGATTCTGGAGAGGCTTCTTTTGAATTTTTGGAATGCACTTGCAGCAACAAAGTTGAAGGCAATGATAATCTCTTTTATTGCAGAAAATGTATCACTTGCACAAGGCTACATAAATCAAGGTGACACACTTCAATTACCTCAGTCCAGATGAGACTGTTCTTTTAATTATAATCTCCCCAAAATTGTCAACTTCAAAACTTATTGCACAATTAACAGCAAATTAACTGCACAGAAATTTAAACTGACGGTAAAGGTGCAGAATGTTGCTTAAGTTCAGTTTGACTGTAAGAATGCCTTGGTAATTTGGACTTGCTGCCAAGTTATTTTTGTCTTCAAAACAGTGCTCAGTGAAGATAAATATCCCTTTAGCACTTTACATCAATGTGCCATCACTTTTTAGTTAAGTATACTTCTTTTAGAAAATTCAGAAGAACAAATACAGCTATTGATATATATTCAACACAACATAGAAAATGAAAAGTATTAAAATTGCTGTACTCGCCTTAATAGACAAATCTTCTTTCCCCAGAGTGACCAAAGCTTTGATAGGAGGGTAACCTTCTTTTCTGCCTTCATGAAGTTCTACAGTAGCTCGCATTGAATTCTATGGTAAATAGAAGTTCTATACGTTAATCTGATTATCGTCGAGGATAAATTAATTGATCGTGCATTTCCAGATAGTATAAATGGTGTGCAAGCTGCAGAGGAAGACTTAATTCATCAGGTTTTTGTAATTTACATTTTCATCGAATTACTTTAAGGCCAGAGTTACATCTGGTAGTTCTGAAGAATGGTCAGTGGACTTGAAACATTAACCCTATTTCTCTCCATAAATGCCACCAGATCTGAGTTTCTCCAGCAATTTGTTTCTTTCAGATCTCCAGCATTTGCAGTTCTTTGTTTTACATGATTGCATTTAATAGTTGTGTTTCCTAAGTAAAGTATATTCACACAAGTTAAAAATAGGCACAGAGATGGGAGGTAGTGAAAATGCCAATAAGCAAAATAATGAATTTATTTCCCACAAAACTGTAAATAAATCATTCATCTGTATTAGCCATATGTGCATTATGTTGAGTCATTCATGGTATGCCTGGCAGGATTGAACAGTGGAAGCCTCCCATCAAGATGTGAAAATGTGAAGATGAGAAGCATTGTTACTCTGCAGCAAACTGAAACAGGAAACTTTTGCCAATCTCAAAAGAACAATGGTTTCTGGTAGGAAGTACTTCATTTGTGAGTAGCTAAGTATAGACATTAAAATGTTAGCTATTTAAGTGACCCGACACCTAAAAGAACTAATATACAATCAAACCAATCACAACAATTAAATCAATTAAGTTAAGTAGGATGATTTACTGAAGCAGGAAAACAGCAAATTCATTTCACAAAGATGAATTGTACTGATTGAATTGTACTGTATGCTCACTTGCTTTGAAATAAAGTGATGTTTCAATTTAAATCAAGCTTGGTCTTGTCAGATATTTCCTTGATATGTTTTCAGCAGTTTGGAAAAGCACATAAGGACATTTACAATTCATAACATAAAGCAGGTACACAATTTTTATACTGCTAGCTTGCATTATCAGACAAGTTGATACTTGGCAAAGCGTGCCTACTCTAGCAAAAAGGGAAATGGCATAAATTTACCAAAGTGATGAATGTCAATGAAGAGAAGAAAATAATGTTTCAAGGTATGTTTACAACAGATATCAATTTAATTTCTGGAATGAATACACAAAATGAACAGTCGAGTCATGGTACCAGAATTAGTTGGTTAACCATTAAACGTGGTTGCAAGTCAAACAACAGCAATAATGTGTACTTAATATGAGAGGCACCAAACATTATACAGGTGATTTTAGGGCACATGGCCAATAGCCTGACTGAAGAGGTAGGTTTTAAGGAATGTCTTAAGGTGGAAAGTGAAGTACAGAAATTGAGACATTTAATAAAGGAAGCTCTGAGTTTAGGTTCTTTGCAGCTGCAGTTTCTTTAGCAATTTCTGTTTTTAATCGTATCCGACCACACAACGGATGGCCATAAAACTGGATGCCATAAATTCTCGACATGGACGTCACAGCAGATACCTGGTGACTCCACTCGCCGCTAGCTCCTCCTGACCCCCATCTTGGACATTACCATCTATGTCTTAGGGCACAATCCAGGGCAGTAGCACCAATATAGCCACCAATGACAGAGCAACAAAAATTAGCTGTGCTCAAGAGACCAGAATGAGAGACACAAATACTGGAGGATGCAGGCCTGACGGAGATTACAGGTTAAGGGTCAGGTGAGTTAGAGTCATGAAGTCACACAGCACAGAAACAAACCTTTCGGTCCAACTTGTCTGCACCGACCAGACATCCCAATCTGACCCAGTCTCATTTGCCAGCATTTAGCCTTTATCCCTCTAAACCTTTCCTATTCATATACCCATCCAGATGCCTTTTAAAGGTTGTAATTCCGCAGGCAGCTCAATCCATACACACACCGTCCTCGTGAGTTGTGCAAGGATTTGCAATCAAAGACTGAGAATTTTAAAATAGAGATGTTCCTTAACTGGTGGACAATATAGATCAACAAGCACAATTAGAATTTAGTTGCTGTGCATGGCATGTTTCATCAGTGCCTGGTTCCTTTAAACTTTTTTGTGTTATCATGCATACACATTAATCATCATTGAATGAGGCATGCAATTTTTCACCCAGAGAGCGGAACAGGTAAACAGAGTTTTGTGGAAACTCTGACGAACGCGACTTTGTGTTAGTTGAAGTACAGGTAGCAGAGTTTTGGATCCTGTAAAGTCTCTACACATTTGAAAGTGAAAGGCTAGTATGAAGCAAGGGTACAGTTGGATGGGTGATATTATGAGGGTGGAAATAGGCTGCTTGAGTAAATAAATAAATACAGGAATAGTGCCAGAAGACTGTCTATAGGAATAGTGCCAGAAGACTGGAGACTAGCAAATGTTGTCCCCTTGTTCAAGAAGGGGAGTAGAGACAACCCTGGTAATTATAGACCAATGCGCCTTACTTCGGTTGTGGGTAAAGTGTTGGAAAGGATTATAAGAGATAGGGTTTATAATCATCTAGAAAGGAATAATTTGATTAGGGATAGTCAACACGGTTTTGTGAAGGGTAGGTCGTGCCTCACAAACCTTATTGAGTTCTTTGAGAAGGTGACCAAACAGGTGGATGAGGGTAAAGCGGTCGATGTGGTGTACATGGATTTCAGTAAAGCGCTTGATAAGGTTCCCCACGGTAGGCTATTGCAGAAAATACGGAGGCATGGGATTGAGGGTGATTTAGCGGTTTGGATCAGAAATTGGCTAGCTGTAAGAAGACAGAGGATGGTGGTTGATGGGAAATGTTCATCCTGGAGTTCAGTTACCAATGGTGTACCTCAAGGATCTGTTTTGCGGCCACAGCTGTTTGTCATTTTTATAAATGACCTGGATGAGGGCGTAGAAGGATGGGTTAGTAAATTTGCGGATGATACCAAAGTCAGTGGAGTTGTGGATAGTGCGGAAGGATGTTGCAGGTTACAGAGGGACATAGATAAGCTGCAGAGCTGGGCTGAGAGGTGGCAAATGGAGTTTAATGCGGAAAAGTGTGAGGTGATTCACTTTGGAAGGAGTAACAGGAAGACAGAGTACTGCGCTAATAGTAAGATTCTTGGTAGTGTGGATGAGCAGAGAGATCTCGGTGTCCATGTGCATAGATCCCTGAAAGTTGCCACCCAGGTTGATAGTGCTGTTAAGAAGGCATACGGTGTGTTAGGTTTTATTGGTGGAGGGATTGAGTTTCGGAGCCATGAGGTCATGTTGCAGCTGTACAAAACTCTGGTGCGGCCGCACTTGGAGTATTGCGTACAGTTCTGGTCACCGCATTATAGGAAGGATGTGGAAGCATTGGAAAGGATGCAGAGAGATTTACCAGGATGTTGCCTGGTATGGAGGGAAGGTCTTATGAGGAAAGGCTGAGGGACTTGAGGCTGTTTTCATTAGAGGGAAGAAGGTTAAGAGGTGACTTAATAGAGACATACAAGATGATCAGAGGATTAGATAGGGTGGACAGCGAGAGCCTTTTTCCTCGGATGGTGATGGCTGGCATGAGGGGACATAGCTTTAAATTGAGGGGTGATAGATATAGGACAGATGTCAGAGGTAGGTTCTTTACTCAGAGAGTAGTAAGGGTGTGGAATGCCCTGCCTGCAAAAGTAGTAGACTCGCCAACTTTAAGGGCATTTAAATGGTCATTGGATAAACATATGGATGATAATGGAATAGTTTAGGTTAGATGGGCTTCAGATTGGTTTCACAGGTCGGCGCAACATCGAGGGCCGAAGAGCCTGTACTGCGCTGTAATGTTCTATGTTCTACAAATGAAACCACTTAAACACAGTCAACTGCTATCAGTGATTGACGTCTGTTTGAGTGTACAGTCAAATGAGGGAAAAATAGCAATTTGCTGCTTTCCTTCCCCATGTAGCTGTCCAGAGACCACCACCCACCATGAACCTACTCAGACACCCTATTATCTATTTTGCGTTTGTGGGTGCCCCACTGCCCTTGAGGCCTGCTAAAATCCCCACTGCCGCCCAGTGTCAGGCTTGCCAGAATCCTTTGGACCAACTCCCTGAATTTGATCCTCAGAATTCCCCCACTGGCCAAGTATCCCCACTGCCTGACACCCCACCTTTGAAGGAAGTCCACCACCACATCAGACTCTCTTCTCAATTGAACTACCTGTTACCACAGACAAACAGCTCTCAGGGTGGAGTGTGCCCGTCAGTGCTGCTGCTCCCTTGTGACTGTCGGCTGGAGTGTTCACCAAGTCCCAACTGTAGGTTGCTTATGCACAACAGCACAGTGCACACGCTCAGAGACATTGAGCGATCTCCATGGAGGAGAAAAGTCATTCATTCTGGCTCCAAAAAGATGTAATCAGAGCATTTCTGAAATAGTGAAAAGCTAGGAAACAGTCAAAGTTGAAAGAGATTTAGGGGCTCATGTATAATGATCACTAAAAATCACTCAAAATAGGATTGTATGTCTGCTTATAGAAAATTAAAAAGAGTGGTTTGGTTGAAAGTTTAAGGATTTTGCAAGAATTGATGTGGTGCCTAAAGAAAACTGTTCTACTGGTGGGGAGACTGGGCTAAGGATATGTGATTGTAAAATCAAACATAGGTCATTCAAGAAGGAAGTTAGAAACTATAATACAAATAAATAATGAAATTTAATGAAGTATCTCACCTTCACCTTATTGAGGTAATTGGGGACAGGTAGCAAAAACAGGTGTTGTGCGCAAAGCTTACTTTCCAAAGGATAAAAACTTAATGCAAAAGTCCAAATGTGAAGTTCTACCCCACAAAAAGCAGTGATTTAATTAATAACTGTAGCTTAATTTAGAATTGTAAATTGGAGCTACACTTTTGTTAGCCTTAGCACAAGTAAGTCATGACTTTGTTGAAAAGTGGAACCGGTTTGCAGTGTTAAATGGCCTATACTTGTACCTACAAGTGGTGTGTAAATTTAAGGAACCACAGTAGTATGTTAAGTGCATAATTTTGTTGCACTCAAGTCTGCAGTACTGGCAACTTTTTGATAACTCTAAATTTTATATCAAATTTGAAATTTGGCGCTTAAGCATTCATCCAGGAAGACAGGTAGCACCACCATAATCGAACAACCCTAAGCTTCCAAAGTGAAAGTGCAAAACTTTTTTTGCTACTTTCTTCAGTAATATACTTGTGAAACAAAAATTGCTGACTTACTTTGAAAAGTTCAAACAACATGTGAAAAAGATGCGACGGTACATACACCACTTGGATTGGTTTCACAGATGTTTTCGCTAAAATAAATACACAAATTCATTAATTAGTTATACTCTTCTTTTGCATGATTCTTCAGTTAGAAATATTCCAAACATGGAAATCTCCAATTTTAATTTGATGACAAATTCAACGACCGTTCATTCAAACTTAATCAAGCTAATGAGCAAACATAACATATTTTAATTTGCTGGTAAGATGGCTAATTAAGACATCAACGTAAATATTGTGGAGGAGCCCAGCAGTTTGTTTGCATGCCATTTCAATAATTAGAGTAGCACGAACAAACAAGTTCAATATGGTTGTGATGAACAACAATAAGCCCAGGTTAACCTTTTTTTATCAACCTGTCTAGAGGGATTATGACACGTGATAGCAGTAGATGGAACTTGAACCTGGACTTTCTGGCTTAGAGGTAGTCCGTTGTGCCAGAACAGCCCAGCTTTTTGAAAGGAGAATGCTGGCCAGTGTGGAGCAAAGGCATCTTTTAGTATAAGCCTGACCAGCTTAACGAACACAGATGGTCGACAGATGCTATCATTCAGGTCATTATTAGTTAGCAAAATATTTAGTTAAGAAGCACATCCAAGGATCAATCAGTATATTCAAAGTAGCCTAACAATCAGTTGGCTGGCATAGTAGATAACAGATCCGCATTGCTCCACTGAAAGATGTTTAGATTTGTGATAAATTCATGTTAAGTTGAATTCATTAATTTGAATCATAGAATCCCTACAGTGCAGGGATCCCACTTGGCCCATCGAGTCTGCACTGATCCTCCGAACATGTATCCCACCCGTACCCAGCTGGCCACCTTATCCCTGTAATGCCACATTTGCCATGGCTAACCAAGTTAGCCTGCATATCCCTGGACACAAGGCAATTTAGCATGGTCTATCCACGTAACCTGCACATCTTTGGACTGTGGGAGGAAACCAGAGCACCTGGCAGAAACCCACGCAGACACGGGGAGAACATGCAACTCCAAGATGCTAAGTGCTAAGCACTGAGCCACTGTGCCATCCATACTGACATGGAATGACAAATTTTGTTTTTGCCATTATTATGCATTAAATAGTCAAGATGTTTAAACTTAATTACTTCAATAGATATTTCACAAATTAATTTTAGACTAAAGAAAGCTTGCAAAATTTATTTACCATTGAACTCATCAATCTCCAGTTCTGGAGATCCCATATAGTATTGCTCACATAACATCTTTGCAGTCTCATATGCATCTGTGTAAAAAAAATGAAAATCATGAAGTGCACATAGTACAAAGCACAGGTAAAATGCAAGCCAAGAACATTGGTTCAGTCTAGGAATAGAAGTTTAGCTTGGTCACTAACGTAAAATCAATATTCAGCAGATGACGGATATCTGAAATAGCAGAAACTTTCGTAGCAAGACTTCAGGGCATCTAGTTCCTTTCCAGTGGGTGGTAGGATGGGATAAATACAGAAAATGCTGGAAATACTCAGCAGGTCCTCCAGCATCTGTGGAGAGAGAAACAGAGAAACTCAAAGCATTAAGTGTTTCTCTCTGCAAAAAATGCTTCCAGAACTGCTGAGTTTCTTTAGCAATTTCTGTTTTTAATTGCATCCAACCACACAACGAACAGAAACTTGATGCCATAAATTCTCGACATGGAAGTCACAGCAGATACCTGGTGACTCCACTCGCCGCTAGCTCCTCCAGACCTCCATCTTGGACATTACCATCTATGTCTTAGGGCACAGTCCAGGGCAGTTGCAACATGCACCCCACATCAAAAGACATAGACATTCCCAAGCCAGCCCTTCTGCAACAACATGACACATCGTGCAGGAAACGTCTGTACAATGAATCTGGTAATTGGAATGCTGTACTCATCTCACGGATGGGACCAGGCTGAATCTCAGGGCTGCTGCTTGCTTTCTTAGCATTCACTCACTCAGGATCCCTGTCTTACCTATCAGTGTTTTACCCCCACCACTAAGGGTAAAAGATGCATAGCACTTCTCTTTTGGCTTGCCTTTTAGCACAGACAGAAAATAAGGAAGCTTATCTTGGTTGTCAGTAATGATCAGTCAAGGGAGTGGACATGTTGTTATACAGCACCATGCTACGTCAATCTCACACCTGCATCATGTGGCAGCATAAGTGGCAAAATACACTGCTTCAATCAAATAGCTATGTCTCAAAGTCAAAGGGAGTAGTCCTCAGTCGAGTCAAGGGTGACAGCCTTCAGAGGGTCCCAGCGAAGTAAGTCAAGGACAGCCTCCAATATCATTCCAGGGGCTTGGGTACAGTCATTCAGCCACTCGGGCTGTCAGGGTCAGGATCCTCTCCTCACTGTGGGGGTGAGGAACCCAGTGTCAGGCATCCCACCATCTGTCTTGACATTTTCTGCCTTACTTTGGGCTATTTTCTCCTGTAATGAGAGAAAGGGAAGGATTGAGTGAGATGTAAGTGGGTGGCACAGCAGTTAATGCCATTGCAGGTAGGGAAAAGGTGTTGAGGTGTCTCCAATGAGTGAATAAGCAGCACCAAGGCCATGCAGGGTTAGTGGTAACAAGGCTTTGGGTGAGTAAGAGCAAGTGAGGGAAGATGTTGCATGCAAAAGTGGGAACACGAGCCTTGCTGCGAGGTGTGCGCAGTAGCAGAGCTAGAATGTGAGATAGCAGAGAGAGGATGGCATCATCTACCCCAGTGGAGCAAAGGTAATTGACCTTCTTGCTATATTGCCAGGCATTTCTTCAGAAGGCTGAATCCACACTGATCCAGGTGGCAACCTCAGACCTCATGGTCTCCTCTGCCAGACTTGTAGAAAGAGGACACCTGCCTCTGTGCCACTTCATTCAGTAAGACACCCCAGTCCCTGTTCTCAAACCAATGTGCCAATTTCCCTTTATCTGCCATGCAGGGCAGCTCTGGACTGACAGTGCTTGATGAGGTATATAACTATCTTTCTAAAGATGGTGCCAGCACCAGTGATTGCAGGATAACCAGCTATGACATATGGGAGAGCTGGGTTTGCATTGTACAGGAGGAGCACTACGTAGATAATGAGGTGAGTTTGAAATAATTGCCCAAGAAAACTTGGAGAGAAATCCTCCATGAAATGTAACAAAAATGACACTTTGTCAAAATATAGTAAGATTCCATCCAAAATTTCAGTTCTCATGAAAAGCAATCAATCAATTTGAAAAAAAATTAACTCCCTTTGACCCTTGACAATGCCTGGCCTGTGGATGCTTTCCGACATTTTTGATGTTACCATTATGTAAGTATTCAGTTAGACAGAGAAAAAAAAAAGGTAAACATTCCAACTTAAATAACAACAGCCTAGGTGTATTATTTTCCAATATTTTAGCAACTCATAAGTAAATGACAACAGTTATTTTCTAGCTGGACAAGTTCAGGTACTGTACCTGACAAATACACTGGAATAATCACTGAATTTGCACCTTAAATCTATCCCTATAAGTTTTAAAATAATTTCAGGGCCTCTGCAGCACTCTGGACAGGGTTAAAATATTTAATGTTATTTCGCTTTCAAAATGCAATTTCACTAAATCAAGAAATATGTGCCCTCACCTGTTACATAACCAAGATGTGACATAGCCACATGCAGGTTGGGAACTCAGTGTAAAAGTTCCATAGATTTAGGGTCAGCTGAAGTCCTTGTGAGCGGATTAAAGTTTTCAGGCATGACTTCACTAGTGGCAGGCAACCAAAAATCATTTGAGAACTAGTTTGAAAGGGTGACCTTAAAGAGATGGCACAGAAATGGAGAAACCGAGGCATTTAGGGAGGAAATACCAGAAAATGTGGGGCCTGTACAGTTGAAGATACTTGCCTCAAAGGTGTAGAAATAGGAAAATAATTCACAAGCTAGTCAGCCAGTGAAACTGAAAGAAGTCAAGACATAAAGAAGGTAAAGGCTATAAACAGATTTAGATACAATGATGGGAATGTTAAATTGGAGATGTTGTGGGAACTAGGAGCCAATATAGACAGCAAGGATGAAAGACATTTTGTGCATGATACAAATCAGGAAGGATAGAAGACAGGCAGCAGAGATACGGCTGATTTTTTGGATTTGATTAATGTATGGATACCGTGCTATGCCAGTTATGTTTAAGATCGACTCATCTGGTAAAAGGCAACACATAGTTTGTTGGTCCCTTATTTGCATACATTTCAGGCAAAGGCCTGAACTAGTTTCGATGCCTATACTATTACCATAAAAGATGTATTTAAACATGTGTACGCATACTCCATCCAGCATATTAGACGCTTTAGTATTAAACCTAATCAATAACAGCAATATCAATTTCGAGGTCAAGGGCTATATGATGAAACAATCTGAACAAAATTCAGATTAACACTTAGAAAGCTCTAAATTAATCTTCTTACAGAAACTTTTTTCTTCTTGGTGTTTCTCACCTTTAACAACATCAGCAACATTGCAGCTCGGATCTATACTCCCAATATGCTTAGGATGTGCTGGATTTGTGTCACCTCCAAAGAGGAGAGCTGCCATAATAAAAAAAAGGAAAAGTACTATTGATCAGGAATTCTTCAATAAAGTTGACTAGAAGTAGGTAATCATACCAAATGTAAAATAATCATTAAAATGTTGGGTTATTATATTTTCTTTGGTACTGATCATGAAATTGCATATATAATAGCCCTGGTCTACAAAGAGGGCATGGTTAAGATGATCAAAGAAATTAGAATTAGAAAATTGTACAGTCAGATATTTAGAAACAAAATTGCTTATTCTGGTGTTGAACATTATGGAAGTTATCTAAGATATTTAAAAACTCTATGCCTAACTGAATTTACTGAAATTTAATAACATTACACAATTCAATTCTGCTTAAACAATATTGCACTACGATTCATCTCCTGTGCAACAAGATGTTCATTATGATAAATAACCTTAGCATATGTTTTTGTGAGATGCCTTTGCAGGTCATCAATCCTCAATGATGAACTATTTCTTTTTGTTAGCCGGGTGTCTTAATGTGACCATTTAATTCCACCCTTATTAGCAATTGAAAATATGGATGTGGGCCACTTTCTTGAACTATTACAATGCATGTGGTGAATATTATGACCACACACTAAGATATTGCTCCATAACTTTACACACACATGAAGTATGGATAATTTGCTTAAGGATAATCAATGGCCACTATTAAGGAGTCAATGGGGAGTGCAGGATGGGGAACAGAAATCCAACAAAGATTAGTAGGAAAACTAAAGCAAAATTATAGCTTTTAAGAATGCAGCAAAATTACAGCAACTCTAGAAAAGTAGCAGTAAAAGTACTGACTTGTAGTCAATATGAACTTGCACTAAAGTACAGAAAGAGTATGACTAGATGAAAGAGTATGATATGGAATGTAATTGCCATTCCTCAGAAAATCTGTCGATTTGTGTGCAATGTCATTTTCACCAGGTGTCAGCTTTGTTTTTGTGGTCGCATCCTCGCTGCTGAGTTATGGACTCAGGTCTTTCTCTCCAGAAAGAGAAGTACAATCTAGACTGGCATTTCAGGGCAGTTCAGGAAGGAGACACTTTTTTTTTGGTTAAGATGTTAAACCAAAGTCCAGTTTTCCCTTTTAGGTGTAAAATATTCATATAAGTATTTAAAGATGATAATTAAAATTTATCCTTGTGCCCACAACATTTATTCTTCAACTAAGATCATTCAAAACATGACCATTTAGTCTGTTACAATGTTGTTTGTGGACTTTGCTGTGTGCAACTGGTTCCTTCATGTTGCTAATTTACAAGAGTGACTACATTTCAAAATATTTCATTGGCTGTAAATTGCTTTGGTACATCTAGAGGTTGGGGATGGTACTATGTATGTGCAAGTTCTATAACAGATTATTTAACTGAAATATTTTCTTTGTTATATCAAGCACTTGCTAACAGACTCTCTTGCATGGTTTAAAGCTTAAAGCACTAAAGCTTTTTCAAAATAAACAGACCATTGCTGGTAGGAATTTTATTTTTGCTAAAGCAAAGAAACTTGGGCTCTTTCTAAAAAGTCATGGTAATCACTTAAGCATTCAAGAACCACTACTGCTATGTTGAGCATCATAAATTTAATCCAGTGTAGTAAATGTAAATAGTTACAACTTTGTTGGGGGCGGGTGGAGAAGTAGGCAGGTAGGAGAAAAAAATCAGAAATTAAATCTTCAATGTGATGCAGCAAGAAAGCGAACTATGACTGCAGAAACACAAATCTTTAAAAGCAAGCTTTTAAATGAAAAAAAATGCACAAAGTAGGTAACACGGGAAGATTTATGAATCCACACAAAGTTTAAATTGAAAGCAGGCAGTGCAACATCCATTATGCAGATAACATAATAGATTTAATAGATGAAAGGGCTTAGTTATCAAGATTTTAACACACTTGGATTACTCTCAGTAGAGTTAAGAAAGGTTTGATAGAAATGCTTAAAATTATTAAAGTATCTAAAAAACTAAATAAAATAATATCTCTACTGGTTGGTGAATCATAAATAAGTAAACAATCTTACAGTGGAAAAAGCCTAAAAAGTTTTTCATAAAAATGTTATTGAAACATGGAATGCAAGCTTCACCACAGAACAAGTTTTATTTAAGAAGTCAGATAAACATCAGGATAGGTATTAAGATGAAACGGGAAGAAGAAAACAGAGCTGGCAAAGCAGTCATTTTAAAATTTCTTCCATTCTGAAATTTTGGTAACTCTGCATACACGGTTGAAGGCCAATTTTGTTTTATTAATTAAATGATGCAACTGCTAATGGGAAAGGCAGTGTTTTTAATCCATTCACAGAATGGTGGGGTAACTGGCAAAGTCAGCATTCACTGCCCATCTTTAACTGCCAATGAGAAGGAGGTGGTGACCTGCTTCCTCAATGGCCTGGCAGGCCATTTCAGAAGGCAGCTAAGGTCTCTATTCTTACTGCTATCCCTACCTGACCTTACCTACATGTGACTTCAGATTCATAGCAATAAGGTTGACTCTTAATTGCCCTCTGAAATGGCCAAGCAAGACACTCAGCTCAAGGACAATTAAGGATAGGCAACAAATGTGGGCATAGCAAGTGATGCCCACATCCCATGAAAAAAAATTACAAGAAACTTTCAACTTTATCACAAAGACAAAAGACTTACTGTGTTGGTTGATAAGCATCCGAAATGAAATACGGCTGGTGTAGAAACGGTCCAGAAAGTACTGGATGTTACTACTAATAAATGGGTCAAAACCATACTTCTCTTTGTATTCAATAACTCCCTGAGCCATGGTTGGCACTACATCATTGTGTCGATTTCGGATTTTAATCAGAGATTCTAGAAAACTGAGGCAGAAAAATTAATTGGGTCAAGATAGCTATATAGTCAAGTCAAAAATATCAGTTTAACGGAATCCATATAATGTAAACATGTACACAAATACGACTTAAAACTAAAAATATCAAAAATATAGCAAAACATTTGTTCTATGTATTGTCTTTAACCTCCTATTACAACTTAGTTCCCTCATCACTGATGTCTTTCTGTCTTCATTCACTGAATACAACTTCAACTTGAACATACGATATGATGCCAAGCTGCAGCCTGACCTCATGTCCTCTCCATCACAAAAACATCCATTTCTATTTCAACATATCATCCATAGCCACCTTCATTTCAGTCTTTGTCTTGCTGAAACCTTTATCCATGCTATTATATTGTCCAGAATTAACTAATCCAAAACTTTCCAAGCTGACTGCGAATTTTTTATTCAATTTATTCACAAAAATTGGATATTGCTGACAAGGCCATTCCTACAGCCCCTTGACAGGGAGTGGTGAATTGCCTGCTTAAACCACTGCTGTTCCATCAGTGAAGGTAACCGAACAAAGCTGTTAGTTTGGAAGAACCAGAATTTTGAACGAGTGATTATGAAGGAATAGCGATATTTTTCCAAGTGAGGATGGGCCATCACTTGGAGGGCAAACTGCAGGTGGCTCGCCCATGAGTCTAGTCCCTTTGTGCTGACTGGTTAGAGGTCAGAGGTATGAGGGGTGTGACTAAAGAAGCCTAGCATGTTCCTGGTGTATATTCACACTGTAGCCAAAGACAGTCAGTGATGGAGATATCAAAGGGTTTAAGGTGGGACATGGTACAAAACAGGGCATTTTGAATACAATCCAAATGAAGTAGCCAGTTTGATTGGCATCCCATTTACCACTATAAGAGTAACTCCCTCCAACATATGCACAGGGGAAGCAGTGTGCATCATCCAAATCATGCAGTGCTGTAACTCACCAAGCCTCCTTCAGTAATACCTGCAACCTCTGAACATAGAAGAACACCAGGGTAATGGGAACAACATGACAAGACCCCTTCAAATGAACTTCTCCCTAAACAGCACCATGGAGCAACTACACTACATGACTGCATTAGATGAACACAGCAACTCACCACCAAGTTGAAGGCAATTAGAGATGGCTAGCAACATCTTTATCTCATGAATGATAAGAAAATAAGATAGCTGTAGATACTTTGGCCAAGAACAATACTCTTTGGAAATTGTTGGTAAAGACCCTCAAAGATTGTGCATGTTGTTGTGATGTTGCCTTTCATTCTTCTAAATTCCGATGAGTATAGGGCTAACCTACTTGACTTCTCCTCACAAGACAGTCCCTCAATACCGAGAAACAGCCTCGTGAACCTTCTCTGGGCTGCCTTTTCTCTTAGATAAAAAGTTCAAAACTGTACACAATATTCCAGCTGTGGTCTGACTAGTGCCTAGTGCATTTTTGGTAATACTTCCCTATTCTTATACTCCATTCCTTTGAAATAAAGGTAACTTTTGCCTTCCCTATCAACTGCTAACCTTGGTTGCCAGCTTTAGTCATTCATGCATGAGGATTTCCAAATCCCTCTCTTCTCTAGCTTTCTAAAGTTTTTCTCCATTCAAATAATATTTAGCTTCTCTACTCTTCTTGTCAAAGTGCATAACCTCACATTTTCCTACATCTTATTCCATCTGCCTATTTGGCACCCATGATTTTGCTGTATCCAGCACACTTAGCCGTTTCTTGAAATCATGTAGCGAATTAAAATAGCTGAAGATTGGCTGCTGTGAATGGGCATTTACATGCTGATAATCTCTGTAGTGAAGGTTGAGGAAAATCACAGTGCATCCTCATTCTGTTCATTCCTTAATTTTCCATCACTGTCACTAACCGAATCTGGCAGAAGTGTACAACTTTAAGGTAACCCGTTAGTAGATTCCTATCAATTGCAGTCTGCTTCTGCTGCTTAGCATGTATATAGTCTCATGGTGCTGCTCCTCTAAATTTTTTTTGAACTAGGGTTGGGCACATGACTTGATGGTAATGTTATGTGAGTGATGTGTCAGAGTTTGAGGTGAAAGATTGTGGTTGAATACAATTCTGCTGATGGCCATAGCCCCTCTTGAATGCTAGATCTATTCTGAAAGCAGTGGTGCTACAAGACTAGCTTTGTGATGGTCATTGAAGCCCCATGTCCGGAATACATTCTGTCACTCTCGCCAAGCTGTTCCAGTTCAGTTAAAACACTGGCATCTACCTGACAATGTGGAAAATTGCCCCAGGTATGTCCTGTACATAAAAATCAACTAGGAAGATGGTCATGGTTGTGGAGGTTAATCATCTCAGCTCCAGAATCTCTGTTCAGGAGTTCCTCAGTGTACTGTCCTAGACCCAACCATCTTCAGTTGCTTCATCAATGACCACCCCTCTGTCATAAGGTCAGATGTGGGATGTTCGCCAATGATTGCACAATGTTCAGCACCATTTGCGACTCCTCAAATGAAGCAGTCCATGTTCAAATGCAACAAGACCTGCACAATATCCAGACCTGAGCTGAAAAGTGGCAAGTAACATTCACACCATACAAATGCCAGGCTATGACCATCACCAATAAGACACAATCAACATCCTGGGGGTTACCATTGAACAGAAACTCAACTGGACTCACCACATAAACACAGTGGCTACAACTGCAGGTCAGAAGCTAGGAATACTGTGGCGGGTAACTCACCTCCTGACTCCCCAAAGTTTGTCCACCATCTACAAGGCACAAGTCAGGAGTGTGATGGACTACCCTGCACTTGCTTGGATGAGTGTAGCCGCAACATTACACAAGAAGTTTAACACCATCCAGGACAAAGCAGCCCGCTTAATTGGCACCACATCCACAAACACCCACACTCTCCTACCACTGCTCAGTAGCAGAAGTGTGTACTATCTTCAAGAGGCACCACAGACATTCACCACAGATCCTCAGACAGTACCTTCCAAGCCCATGACCACTTTTATCTAGAAGAACAAGGGCAACAGATATATGGGAACACCACCACCTTCAAGTTCCCCTCCAAGCCACTCACCATCCTGACGGAAATATAATGCCATTCCTTCATTGTCGCTGGGTTGAAATCCTGGAATTCCCTCCCGAATGGCATTGTACGTCAACTCACAGCAGGTGGACTGCAGCTATTCAAGAAGGCAGTTCATCACCACCTTCTCAAGGGCACCTGGGGATGGGCAGGAAATGCTGGCCAGCCAGCGATGCTCACATCCCACAAAATGATTAAACTTAATAAAAGACTTGTATTTTTTACTGTTTTTCTCGTAACTTTGAGTTTATTCAAAGTCCTGTTGTCCATACCATTACTCATCCTAAACTGCAGTTAGCCATGATCTCTGTACTCACTTTGATTCAAAAATCAATCACGACTTCAAAATTGATTTGTTGTCCTCTTCCTGGAGGCCAAATCCCTCCGTAGTAGTCTTGCCATTTTGTTTCTATCCCCTCTGAGAATTTTGTGCCCTTTCAATTCTGATGTCATGTAGAATCCCTTCCCTATTTTTTCAGCAGTTAATTGTTGTAACTTTAGCGACTCCCCTCTGCCTCTTCAGCATCATCACCCCTCATGACCCATCTCTTTGGTCAGGCTTTTAGGCACCGTAGAATCTATTTTGGTGTCAAAAATTTATTGAATGCTCAAATGAAGCATCTTGGGATATATTACCATGTTAAATCATAAAAACATAAAAATTTCTGTAGTTTCAGAAAGTTCAGGATCACAAAAAGGTTGTCTAATCTGCATTGGAATGCTGGGAGGAAGTAATTCTGAATAGGTCAGCACAAAAAATTATAACACCTGGAATATGGTGGGATGGAGGTGGGGCTCTGAGAAGAATGGCTGAGCAGAAAAGGAGGTAAGATATTCTCAAATGCAGTCAAAAGAAATCTGATGCATAAAAGTAGTGAACTCTGTGGAAGGTGTTAGCTTAACAATGCAAATCAACTCAAAGGAAAATATACTATTTTGACATTGACACTGACTTTGGCAATTTGGCAATGTCAAAATAGTATCTTTTGTTCTGCTGCTGTAATTTTGAAGTATTTCAGGAAACCTTCAGCAGCAATTCAATATATAGTTCAGAAAATGTAATAATTTATAATTAAAACTTACACAAGCTCATATTTTAGACGTCAAAAAATATATTGTCAGCACAATTAGAATAGACTAGGAAGGAGAGGACTTCTCTGGCATGCCAAATTGCAGATTTTTGAATGTATTTCAGTCACACATCAAGAAGTGGATGCAAGAATAGAAGACAGCTTTTAAAAGTGAATATACGGTCAACTGAAAGTTCATTAGGCATATAGTACTTTGACAGAAATAGAAAACAATTCAGATTCTTACTCATTCAACACAGGAGAATCTTCAGGCCCTTTGCTCTGAAACTCTAGCAGCTCTAAAAAACTTTGCATATACCTGTAAAAGGGGTGATAAAAATGATTACAGTTGACAGTCACACCATTAAAAGTCACTTTACAACAATATTTTCAATGTACATGGCAAAATATTCCACTTAATCTGCAAAGTATTGTTTAAAATGATGTAATTTAACTAATCTCAAAACAAATAAAGCACCTTTGACAGATTTACTGCATTTTATTTTCCTTGTAGGTAGGGGCAAAACTGAAACCAACCAGGACGGGTTTCTCAGTCTAGATGCTCCATGAGGAATGGAGAAAGGTTAACTTATGGAGAAACTTGACATGGGCATAAAAGACAATGAAGATTTAGAAGACAATGAAGATGAAGGAAAGATGACAATGGTAGACTTAAATCCATAAAAGAGGAAATGTCAAAGTCAGGAGAGAAGTAGGCAAGCTGTGACTAGAAGATCAGAGCCATATCACTATCACACTGATCTGAATGAAGCAGTTATTGGCATTTGAAGTTCAGCAAGGGTCAAGCTCTAGCCATCTGTACATCAAGTCACAGAACAAAAGGAGGCTATTTACACCTCGTTGTTGGCCCCCCACCCTTCTTTGTGGTTCCTCAACTCTATCAACACAGATTCTACCTTTCAACCTTATATCAGTTCTTGCTAGCAATTTGATTTCATTTCTTACAGATTGGGCAGCACCCCTACTCCCTTTCTTTTCAATAGATTGTGTATCCTTGGACATTTAGTTCTCAGCCTTGATACTTTTGCAGCGACACCTGTGATGGATAGGAAATGGCTAATGTAATGCCCCTGTTTAAGAAGGATGGGAAACAAAAGATGGGCAATTATAGGCCTTTGGCCTTGGGAAGCACCATTGTATACTTCCCTCTAGTCTGAAAAGCAGTACTGCCTGCTATCCATGCATTAACCAATTTTGAATCCACTATTCATTTAATCCCAAGGGTTTCAATTCTGCCAAACCTATATGCTGTACCGTGTGCTGGAAGCTCAGATACAATTCAACAGCAAAACAGAAACATAGAAGACAGCAGCAGGAGGAGGCCATTCAGCCCTTAGAGCCTGCTCTGCCATTCATCATGATCATGGCTGATTGTCCAACTCAGCTGCTTAATCCTGCTTTCTCACCATAACCTTTGATCCCATTCGCCCCAAGTGCTATATCTCGCCACCTCTTGAATACATTCAATATTTTGGCATCAACTACTTCCTGTGGTAATGAATTCCACAGGCTCACCACTCTTTGGGTGAAGAAATATCTCCTCATCTCCGTCCTAAATGGTCAACCCCGAATCCTCAGACTGTGGCCCCTGGTTCTGGGGTCTATTGGGAACATCCTCCCTGCATTTACCCTGTCTAGTCCTGTTAGAATTTTATAAGTCTCTATCAGATGTGCCCTCATTCGTCTGAACCCCAGCAATACCTCCTTCTTTATTGGCAGCATCCTCTTTTCTAGTGACGACAGATGCATGGTACTATTTTAATAGCATAGCAAGATAATGCAGATTCTGAAGTTCTGATGTAGGGTCATTCAATATAGCTACAAAGAGATACATTTGTGTGGCAGGCATGAAGTAGCATTTACTAGTACAGGTTGTAGCCTCCGCATCAAGCCTTTGCTGAACCTTCTTTTTTATTTGCTAATTAGTAATACCTTTCCTTTGATTAACTTATACTTACATGCTTTCCAAATATTTTTGGAGGTCTTGTGGCACAAAGGAAAGCATGCCTGCATTTGAGGTAGGACCCAATAGTCACTGAAGATGTGCATATTACACAACCAAACAGGTTGATAATCAACATGTAAGCTCTTCTAACAACATCAAAGGCAGGGGGTAAGAGTGGGAGAAGTTCTATATGTTGGAGCTTGTACCATTATTATAGCTCCATAAAATAAAAACATCTGTAAAAGTTGTCACTGACTTGGACTTGAATCAGTTGGATAGATGGCTGGTGTGGATCAGATTATCATCATTATCATGGGGTTCAATCCCTGGGTTAACTGAATGGGTTCAGGAATTCACTTCTTTCCCCATCAGTGGTAGAGGTTGTGGTACTGTGGATTGATTTCTCTTTGCCTTTGGGCAAAGAACTGACCAAGTAAATACATCAGGGTCTTTTTTGTTCATTGTTGAGCTGTTCTTAAGCCCTCTCCTTGTTACTTTTACTGCCTCTTTCAAATCTCCTCCCTACTTTTTTTATATTCAGCTTCTTCGCTTTATTTCTAATAAGTGACATAACACTCCACTTTCCTGTCCGATTTTAATTTCCATTATTCAGACCATTCTCTCTTTGGATGCCCTTCCTCTTCCACACATAGGAATGTGTTTCTCTGTATTTGAATCTCCTCTTTAAAGATTCCAAAATATGTGATGTAACCACAATGATTTCTTTTTCTCTTTTTTGTTAGCAAGTCAGCTGCAGACAGTGACCAGGCTTCAAATGGTGACCAGTTCTTTATTTGAGAACCAGATGTTGGCAACATCTCAGCAGCTATGACACCACGTTTTATTGTGTTGTCGTGTTATGCCTTTCCAATTTCCTTTAGGACATAGTAGTATTGTGATAACTGTCGTAATCCAGATAGCCAGGCAAATGTTCTGGAGAAGAAAAAACAAAAGAACTGCTGACATTGGAGATCTGAAACAAACAAAAACAGAAATTGCTGGACAAACTCAGCAGGCCTAGTACCATCTACAGACAGAAAACAGAGTTAAGGTTTCACAGTTGTATTTGGTATGAGTCACAGTTCTTAAAACGTTAACTTTGTTTTGCCTCTGCAGGTGCTGCCAGACCTGCTGAGTTTCTCCAGCAATTTCGGTTTTAGTTTGTTAACATTCTTGGAACATTGGTTCAAATCCCACCATGACATTTGTGGAATTTAAATTGAATTTGTAGTAATAAAAAATCTGCAATCCTTACCTGGTCTGCTCTATATGTGACTCAAGCCCCATATTATGGAGTTGATTCTTATTTGCATGCTGAAATAGCCTGGCAAGCCACTCAGTTCAAGGGCATATATGGAAAGGGTACAAATCCTGCCCTTGTGGTCTTGTGGTACAGTGGTAGTGTCCCTACCTCTTAGCCAGAAGATCCAGGTTCAAGTCCATCTGGTCTGGAGGTATGTAACGGCATGTCAAAGAATCCGTACAGTGCAGGTGGAGGCCATTCAGCCCATCGAGTCTGCAACAACCCTCCAAAGAGCACATCCCACATCCCCCCCTCCCGCCTCTCCCGCCTCTCCCTCTAACCCTGCTTTTCCTATGGCACCTGGTTTCACATCTCTGGACACTATGGGCAATTTATCATGGCCCACCTAACCTACACATCTTGGAAGTGTGGGAGGAAACCTGAGCACTCAGCAGAAACCCACATAGAGACAGGGAGAATGTGCAAACTCCACACAGACAGTCACCTGAGGTTAGAACCAAATTTGGGCCCCAGGCTAACCACTGTGCCATCCTTAAATGATGAGAAATTTGTTCCTGGGTGGCCTTGAATCAGCAGCCTTCCGATTAATAGCCAATCGTGCTAACTCATCGAGCAAGAGACAGACTCAGTTAAAGCATTCATTCTGTCAAACCCCTTACAATCCTGTACATTTCAATAAGATGACCAATGAGTAGAGTCCCAAACTCCCTAGCCTTTGCTCAAAAGACAATTCTTCCAGATCAGGGATCATCCTAGCCAGATAGGTTGATTAAAATAACCGTAATTGCTGGCCAAACTATTGAATAAAGAATAAGAAAAACAAAGAAGGGAGTTGCAACCATTTGATGAAAAGACATTTTGGGAGTTCAGTAAAAGAAATATTGCAATCCTTTGATTTCATGACCAATAGGCCAAGTTCAGCGATGGAGACACAGTACATTGTTTGGGATTTTAACATCAACTTTTCACACATTGATGCATCCAAATCTACAGCTCTCACAAAGGTACAATGGATCCTGAAAATGCATCCAACTATCGCCATGCACTAAGCCCATCTTCTTTGCCTTGGTGTTAGTGTCAGTTAAGACTTTTGTCAGATCCCTCAGATAACAACTTACTTTACTAGGCAGGTGCCTTCAGTAGTGTTTGGTGGCACAAGAATATATACTTTGAATCTATAGATCCTAGAAGCAGCAACATCTTCAACATCACTGTCCTTCTTTTGAGGTTGGAACACTGCCAGATCCACCTCAAGATTCAATGGTATCACATTTTTCTCCTATTTAAATTTCCTTATTTTGATTTTTAGGAAACTGTAGACCTGCATGAATGCATACCAAGGAAATTACAAGTGCAAGTAATGCACTCTTGGAATTGGCTAGAGTTATGGATTGGAAGGACGTGCATTTTCTCAGAGCACTTCTAATTTACCATGAGCAATTCACATAGAAACAAATGAACTGGGAGTTGAAGTAGGACATTTAAGCAATGCAAACCTGCACCCACATTCGATGATATCATGGTCGATTTTCTACCTCAACTTGGTCTTCCTGTTTTATTGTCATAAACCCATAATTCCCCAGAACCCAGACAAAATTTCTCAACCCCTACTCGAATACACTCAATGACTAAGTAACCACAATTCTATGGTGGGGGTAGAGGGGATAGGGTAGGTAGAAAATTCCAAAGATTCACAAACTTTTGAATGAAGGTATTTCCCACCTCTCTCCTGAATGGTCAACCATTTATTCTGAAACTGTGATTCCACACTCTAGAGGTCCCATAATTGAACTAGATCACCTCTCATTTTTTAACATCCGTGGTATAAAGGCCTAGTTGACAGTCACGTGCAAAGTCCTCCTCTTCTCAAGCTTCCAGCTTCTCTACAAAATGTCCTGCTAATGTTTTTCTAATCCCAAAGCCATTACATATTCGTATGCGCCAACATCTAGAACTCCGTTAGCTAAGCAATTTAGCAAGTAACAAACATCTTCCAGCAACTGAGTTTTGGTCAGTCATGCAAGGTTGAGCTTTTGCAAAAGCATGATCTAGAAATTTGATAGCCCTATGTCTGCTTTCAGATGCAAACAATCCTTTAAACTTCCAATCCCAACACAACTGAAATAATTGCACATTAATTAGGAGCTCAAATTTGCTAGCCGCTATTTTAGTATAGGCACTAGCACTCTCCATGCTCAAATAAATGGCTTATCCCCTGTTTGAGGGTTTCTCTGCAATACACTTTCAACTTTCAACTCCAAACTGGGTGCATTCCTAACACCAGTTTCAACAATGTCCTCCAGATCCACAATCAGAGCAGTTGGATCACAAGATGAGGGACCATCCTCCTGAAGTAAAGTGTCTATACTCACCTCCCTCTCCTAAGCTTTTTCATTGTGAGCAGGGTATTGGTCACCAGCACTCTTCTTCTCATTTGAAATGCAAAGCATTGTTCCCTTTCAGTTGCCCAGATTATGAAGGATACAACATGACAAAGTAATTCTTGAAATTCTTATAGGACAATACTGCAATATTGCACGTGATCTTCCATGAACACTCTACCACATTGGCAAACAGCTGCAGAAGTGAAAGGACACAAGCACTATCACATAACCACAATGCAAGATTATGCAATGCAATGAAATTTCCTCTCTTCCTCTCACACTATGGAATGTCCCAGTGAACAAAAGATACAAAGAATAAAGAATATGGTTTACCAGTACAAAATTAAAATGTCACTTTTAGTGAGACGTGAGCAAGTACCTGCAAAGCTCCCAATGAAAGTTCTATTTGTTTCATTCCAGGTTGCAAGATCATTATAAAACAAATGGCACACTTTCCTCTGACATTTTAAGATTAATGTTTGCTGTAAAGGCAATATCCCAGAAAATATTTAGATTCTTAGCCTAGAATTTGCCAGTTCCTAATGTGAAAAAAAAGAAGCTTAAACATACTCAAGGTATATTGGTTTGACTATTAAGTAGATCACGGAAAAAAAAAACTTGCAAATCTTACTCTCAGTTAATTTCACATTTAAAATATTCAATCTGAAATCTGCATACTTTATTACACTTGGAAATTGATGACATTCCATATTTATAATGGGGCAATCCTGCCGGAAAAATTACACAGGACAAAGAAGATAAATTTCAATGTTTTTCAACCATATCCCTTTAAAAGTGTGATGAGGAAATCAGTCATCTGCTGATATCAGTCAGCCTTACGTTCAAATTGTTCGTGGGAAATTGTATTAAAATTTACGCAAGTACATTGCTTCACCATGACCACTGTAATCCACTTTGCACAAAAATTGAGTTTTAAACAGATTCCAAGCACAGCAATTTCTCAGCACTGATATTCATTACAGAGCATATTTCACTTTATTATTGCTAATCTCTCACAAATAGCATTCACTTACCAGCTCTGGACAAGTCGCACAGAGGGCCTGCTGAGCAGGTTATCAGGCAACAAGTTCACTTCTCTCATTGTGTTAGCCAATCGAACTGGTAGCTCCTTTCGTAAGAACATAAAAGATGTCTTTTCACATGCATTATCACGACCTAATGAAAATGAAAAGGGAATTACACATTCTAGATTCTTGATGTCAGTTTGTAAAAACAGGCATATATTAAATAGCCACTCAATTAGTGTGGGATTTGACTCCTTTTATGGACTCATACACTGGAAAGTGATTAAATGCATTTGGGCAATCTTCAGGCAAATCCTGACTGCAAAAGCAAAAACTATGCAAACAAATACAGCATACCAGGCTTGGACGCTGTTCCCAGCTATTTTCTTCAAGAAGGATTATCTAATCCCTTTCCAGTACAATATCCAATATCAGTTGGTTAGGGGAATTTTTGGGGGGGGGTCAGTTTTGACATTAAACTACAAGAATTCAAGGGAAATAAAGGGTTTTCATTTACCTAGTGGCTTTCAGGGTTTTTAATGATATTGATTGCTAAACTATTGATAATGACAACAGAAAACCTGCACATAGCAACATCTCCAAAATGGCAATAAGATAAACAACCAGATAATCCATTAGTGGCACAAATTTGGTCGTCACTGATAATATTCATTTACTACTGCAAAAATAATTACACCAGCGTTTGTTACAGCAGTGCAACTCAGTGAAGCATGTAAGATTTTACTTTAAAAATTGTGAAGGTAATTGTTTTTCAACTGTTTTTCAATTAAAATGTCATTCTGGGTATAAACACTGTATTAAATTTCATTTAATTATTTTTCCAAATTTTAAATTAAATCAATGCTATTTCCTCTCAACCAGAAATCTCAACAGTGAAAGGTAGCATTTTAAAAATTTTCAAAATTGGTCAATTAATTTTTAAAAAACTCTAATCCTAACATAAAAGCAAAATACTGCAAATTCAAAATTAAAGCAAAATTGTTGAACTTCTAAGTAGGTCCACCAGTATCTACGGCAAAAATCAGAATTAACATTTTGCATGTTCATTATAATGCTGTTAACAATCATTCTGGACCAATGCTCAAGTTCTTTACCACGAACATTAGCACTCCCTTCACCTTTTGTTCAATGACATTTCTGTTCTTTAATTTCTCCCATCCTCTTTAGTTTATCCCAGCCTTTCATTTTAACCTTCCTCCCTGGCTCCAAAATATTTTAACAGCAAAAAACCCATCACATGTCTACTTCATAAAATAAAAGGCTGTGGACGCTGGAAATTTGTAAAATAAAAAGCAGAAATTGCTGGATAAACTCAGCAGTTCTGGCCATATCTGTGGAGAATTCTGAAGGTGGGTCACTGGACCTGAAATATTCACTCTGCCTTCTCTGCACAGAAGCTGCCAAACCTACAGAGTTTCTCTAGCAATTTCTATGTTTGTTTTACATTTCTACTTCCCTTCAGTTCCAAAGAGTCATCTTCAATTTGAAACATAATCCCCATCTCTCTCCACCGATGCTGCCAGCCTTCTAAGTATTGCCATCCAGCATTTTGTTTTTAATGACTCAAATACAAAATTAATCCAACTGAACTTCATGTTCAGGAAAATAACTGTTTATTTAACAAAAATTATGAAATGTACACAAATGCAAAGAAACACCCTCATTTCTAATCATACTCATGAAAAAGCTACTCAGGTACTAAATAAAAACAATGGATTTTTGCCAAAATTTATTTTACATTTCCAAGATTACATTATTAATGTAGCTGCATTTTTCATTTGTAAGAATAGTCCAGCATACATGCACACATTTCATAAGAAGCAACATGATATTTGCAATCCGATCACACTATAAATATCACACTGTACTAAAGGTCAATGCTTTGCTGGAAATTTGTTTACAGCAACTGAAGCACAACATATAGTACAAGCTAATATTGTATCCAGTGTTAGTGTTTACTTTGGGTTTACTAATAAGGTTGGTAAAAGGGAAAGCTAATAGAATAAGCAAATAGGTTATATTCAGTATGATATGGTCATAATAAATGCTGCCAGACAATATTTTTTACAAACTGCTTTCTTCCTTCACAATGTGGAAATAAATAATGCTATGTCATGTTAACTCATACTATACGACGTAAATAAGTTACATTTTGTAACATGTAGTTTGTGAATATTTTAAGAATCTATATACCAGGACAAGCATGTACAACATTCATCCAAATTGGGTTTCTCTATTTCAGCACAACACATTAAGTCATTTGGTCACACAGAACTAAAGTGTTACTGAAAAACAAAATACACATGTTGTGAAAGATTGTCATCTTGCAATCATCAGGAATGCCAATCTAAAATGGAAAAATATTTTTATACTATATGAGAAGAGGACTACTGAGTGGACTGTAATTGGTTGAGGCAGTGCTATGGAGAATACACCAGTTAGATGATGACTGGCAGTAAATTGCTAAGCTAAATTTAAACCAGGCAGTTTAACACTGATTGGTTAATTCCTCCGAATGGCTGTCGTCTATTTTGTGCAGTTGATATAGGCACAAAACGTGGATGTTCTGTCTGCAACATATTGTATTAATATATAGCTTCCAGTATGTACAGTAGCGGTTGTATTCAGGTCAGCCAGGTGGAGCTCCCTGATTAAACCAAATTAATAGCCCCAATCAGGGAGCCCGGGCTGACAGATAAGAACAGGAGTCTCAGACACACTGTTCACTCTTGAGAGCTGGATCAACGTCAAGGACTCTCCACATAGAAATAAAGGATAACTTGGGAATGGAACATTAGCCCCTGTGGAGTTATTTCATGTACAAGCGTTTCAAATGTGAGTCAGACTGAATCTTAAACTGGTTGTCACTGTAATATTTGGCATGATTAGTATTACTTAGCAAATACCGTCCAATTGTGGGATCAACTATCAAGTTTTGCAAGCTTGAGCCGGTTAAGTAGTCTTTAATCAGAAGCAGATATTATGTTAGATTCTTTTCCATTGGCATGGCATTCCTGATCATTTCAAATAAATTTAATCTCGAGTTACAAATCAGAATTATTCTCTCAAATTCTTGAACTGTTACTATACAATGATTGCTGTGTCTTCTCAATCAAGTCATTAAAACAGAAGTGTGACTTTACTGCCAAATATTAATGACACAAGGTATCGTAACCATATAGATTAGCTTGATTCAGCTGACAGAAATTCTGCTCCATAGTTAATAGATTTTGGGTTCAAATTCTCTTCAAGGGGTTGAACACATAATCCAGGATGGCACCTCAATGAAGTACTGAGAAAGTGTTGCACTACTGATGAAATATTAAATTAGACAGGTGAACGTAAGAGATCCTGCTTTACATTGTATAAGGTGAAGTTCATATTCAACAGTCTTCCCTCAACTATCACCATTCAAATAGTAGTAATTCATCTCAATTTCCATTTTTCAGACATTCCCAAATGTAAATTGTTTGTTTTTGGTCATTTACCCATATAAACCTGATTGCATTTTAATTGGTTAAACTGAACTATCGACAGTGTAGCAATTTGAAATGTCTCAATGACATGATATGGTGCGATACGAATAAGAATTTCTTCTCATATGGTCCCAATTTTGTAGTAAGAAGAATGGAATTAATGCATGCAATGAAAAGGTTCAGAGTCAAGGGTAAAAAAGAGCTTGTGACAATTGTAGATATTAATACAGGCTTCCAAATTGTGGGATGAAAAAGATTTGCCATCAGATTAGAAGCATGAGGAGCAGTATTATTCCTTGAGATTTTAATTATTTTCTTACTAACTGTGACAAAAACAGAAGAAATGTTGAAAAGGGAACCAAATTCCTCAAATCTGCACTCCTACAAGCATGCCTATCAAGGAGAGATGAATGTCGACAAAGTCGAGTGTTGATCAAATGTCAAGTAATATGAGCAGAGTCATAGAGTCATATAGCACAGAATCAGGCCCATCAACCCAACTCATTCATGCCAACCAGGTTTCCTAAACTGAACTAGTCCCATTTGCCTGCATTTGGCCCATATCCCTTTAAACCTTTCTTATCCATGCAACTGCCTAAATTTCTTTTAAATGTTGAATCTGTACTGGCTTCTACCATTTCCTCTGGCAGTTTGTTCCATACATGGACCACTGTAAGGTCCCTTTTAAATCTTCCCCACTCACCTTAAACCTATGCTCTCTAGATTTGATTTGATTTATTTATTGTCATGTGTATTTATTACAAGTACAGTGAGAAGTGTTACTAAGTGTCGCCACTCTCCGGCATCAGAAAATAAACCAAAACACAGAATATAGAACCAGAAATATAAAATTGTAAAATTCATCTTATATTCTTATCTCAATAAAGTTAGGTGGTCTTTGGAACAATTACCGCTTCTAGCTCAGCCACGGGCCTGGATCTGGGCTCCTCCACTCCAATGCCCCAAGTCCCTACTGCTAAACTGACGACACTGCTGCAACCAGGCTTCGCTGACTGCTGCTGGAACAAAGAGTCGCCACTTGCTGGCGCCATCTCACCTCGACCATGCCGTCACACCCATAAGATGACGCTGGGCCAACCCTGCCAATGCAACAGCCGCTGGTGCTGCAGAGTCCGGCTTTGGGACCAAATTTGCCACCGATGCCAGCTCCACTATCAGGGTCCCAGGCCGAGCCATAGCCGAGTCTAGATTGCAGGATTAAGCCTGGGACCTGCTCCTTGCTTGCCAGGAGACTTTGGGCTGGGGTGGAGCCACCTCTGACTTGTCCTGGCGTCGCTGCTGCCGCTGGACGCCTCCTCCTTCAGCACTTGCTCTGCCTCACTGCTTCCCAGGCTCACACTGTCATCTTCGTCCACCATCCCACGCAGGGCCCATTCTCACCGATGCCATTGCAACCGAGGCGAAAAGGTAAGAGAAAAGACTTCAAAGAAAAGTAAAAAGAAGCAAAAAGAAAAATATGAGAAAATAAAAGAAAAGTAGGCAGAAGTGGACGAGCCCCAGGCTCAGTAGCCCAAATGTTATTAGTCCACCACCATTATCTTGCTATTTTGAATGATAATTTTGGACTCCCTTTCCCTGGGGAAAAACCTTCGCTATTCACCTTATCTATGCCCTTTATGATTTTATAAACTTC